GACCGCTATTTGCACCCACACTTCCGTTATTACATGCGTGAGGTTAGAACTGTTGTTTACTCTCAGTTTTTGGAATCCTACAAGAGTGTTACAATTGAAGCAATGGCGAAGGCTTTTGGGGTGAAAATAGAGTTCATTGATCTGTAAGTGGTTTACTTCTATGGACTCTTCCAGATTGTATCCTCCCCCCCACCCCAACATCCAAACAAAAATATAGTTAGTTGGGTGGTTCCAGCTGTAGCATCAATTGTATGTGTGCTTGACATATGGAAATTTTCTTCCATGCTTGCCAGGGAGCTATCTCGTTTTATTGCAGCAGGAAAGCTTCATTGCAAGATTGACAAGGTTGCTGGCGTTCTTGAAACGAACCGTCCTGATGCAAAGAATGCCCTTTATCAGGCCACTATCAAGCAAGGAGACTTCTTACTAAACCGGATCCAGAAGCTATCTCGTGTAATTGACCTGTGAAGTCATTTTGCATTCTTGTAATTTGAAAAATTATGCCAGAATGTATGAATTCCAAGGGACAGGAAAAGAAGAGATTTTACAGCGAATGCATTTATTTAAAGAGAGTAATGCTACCGAAGCAATTCTTTCTTTATTTTCTCAGTTAGTCAAGAACTAAAGCATACTGAACTTTCAGTGATTGTTATCTTGTTCCCATTTGTTATCTTAAAGTGGAGGGTAGAGAACAGTTTTTTTTTTCAGAGACATGTTTTAGCGGCAAATGTTTGAATGATAAGACTTTCTAATTGGTACACTTCGTGAGGAATTTATTTTACGCAGGTTCTTAGAAAAAAATACGAAGGTATGTTCACCAAATGATGATAATCGTCTAGTTTTATTATCACAACAATGTCATAGTTCTTAGATGTGATTGGCATTATTACCGTTGAAGATAAAGGACATGTCTATTATGCATTAGTTTACATTTCCGTTGATTAAAACTGGTATCCAGAGCATGTCTTTGGTGAGTCCAGGAGCACAACAAGGTAGAAGTTGGCTTAATTCAAAGAAATTGTAGACTGCACAATACGCTTAGAGCACATCTGTGGCAAAATTAATTTGATTGCATCCTTTCCATAGACTTTCATATTCACAGCTAAGGACATTATTGAGTATGCTATGAAAGTCTGCCAGTAATGAGATTTGGACACTCCTTCCTGCAAGGAGAGCAATGTTCTCAATCATATTTTGATTGTTTTTGTATTTAATCTCTAGTCAAGGAGGACATTACTGGTCACTATCTTTTTTTTTTTTTTGAATAAATTAATATATTCATAAATAGAAAATACACAAACATCAATTATAATATAATAAAAATAATAAATAATAATGACAAAAACATTTTATAAAAAAAATATATATTAATTATAAAACCAAATAATATTTGATATTTATCAAACAATTGATACACATACATTAATTATAATGTAATAAAAATAATTTTCAATAATAATACAAATGAGAGTACAAACCAATTCAAACTTACAAACTTTTATAAATAAAAAATTATAATAATATTTAAAGTAAATTAGCAGTTGGTATTTACATCAACATATATCCTGAAAATGGTGAATAGTGTGGCCAGACCCTCCACTAAAGCTTGAGTTCTCAAGACTTAATGCAGATCATTATTTGTTCCTTTGGCTAATGAATAATAGTGAATAATGATGAATAATGAATATGGACTTCGTTTCTTTGGCTATAATCACTTCTTTATGATCCACCGTAAGAAGATTGGAAAAACGTGTTTTCATATCAACTCCATGTTCATTATTTTTAATAAAAAGGTTGAATGAAATCCGCTTCATGTTCAACAATTTTTTTTCTACTAAAGACCGGTTAGGGGATGCTCATAGTAAACTACTTTGCGAACAAGTTTGGTTTCTTTTGAAACAAGGTTAACATGTTAAACCTCCATTCCATCTTGCAGGGGCATGATAGAGATAAGAATTGAAGGTAACAATTCAAATGTTTAAACCTAGATTAGCTGGGTAAAAAATTTACCATAATCGTTGCAAATTCAAACATATAACTTACCTCTTCCAGTTGAGTTATATATATATATATATGCATATGCATACCCACAGTCCGGTATAATTAAGTGAATTGATTTTTGGTTCTCTCTCGCGCTTATTATTGCCTGAGATGAGAACGCTGTTCGAAAGGACTTGCAGTCAAGATGGAAGAGAGCACTAAGTACTAATAGATTTTTTCTTTTTTTTTTTTTTTAATCTTTTTATGGAGAACAGGATAGAGAAAGAAAAGTAGACTTATCCGAATCGGGAAACAAGAGGACGAAAGATGATCTTTCTCTGCCAGGCCAACCCTATTTAAATGCCATTCTTTTACTGTGTCCTCTCGTTATTTTCTCGTCCGTGCAGAGTTCTAACGTCAAATCTTCTCATTGCTTTATCACCCACAACCTATGCCTACTTTATAGTCGTCCCAACCAGGCTTCGATGAAACATTTAAACCCAGAATTTTACCAGGAAGAGGCCCACAATGTAACCCAATTTGATTGGGAGGATAGAGTACAATGATATTATTAGCAAAACTGAAGGGCTGAATCCTACAGCAAACACCATGTATCCTTTTGATTTCGAGGATATTCAAGACAATCTCTCAGCTCATTTTAGACCCTGGCAGCGCTCCATTCAATTCTGGGTTCGAGCTGCTGACATATATACTGGCTACAAGGTCTGCTTCTCTCGTATTCTCTACTCGTATACGCGTCTCTATGTGGGTCGACATATTTTCTCCTCTTTTTTGTTTAAGAATTTAAGTGGGTTTTTACTTCATTATCTGGATTTACGGGTGTTTTATCAGGTGTTCCAACTTCGAGTGAGATTGGTTAAGGATGCGCAGAAACAGGAAGAAATGTGGGAAAAGCAACATGAGCTTGCTGCTGACAAGATTTATGGAATGTGCTCTGAACTTGGCGGGTTCTTCCTCAAGGTATTCTGACACATTCCTTTCGTTTTATTATTATCTCAACGCCTCTCGTCTTTTTCATGCTCTTATTTCCGTAATTCAGAATTGATTATGGTCCCCTGAAGTGGGTGGTTTTGGACGTCTGGATTTAAGTTCCTCCTTAACAGCTGTTTTCTTTTTTTATGTTATGTAACTTTTGAATTGTTTGATTCAAATGGTAATGTCCTTTTCTTTAATGCCTCAATTTGTTTCTCAATCTTCTTTTTCTGTTTTTATTTCTTTATTTCCTTTTCAATTTTCTTCTTGAGGATAATGTGTTAGAGATAATTCGGATTTAGGAGATTTCAGCCGTTTGTTTATCAGTCTATTTCGTAGATGGTTCTTAATTGGTGTATATTTGAATTAGATTGCTCAAATTATTGGAAAGCCTGACTTGGCCCCAACTGCATGGGTTCGAAGGCTTGTCACCCTGTGTGATCGAGCTCCTGCAACACCATTTGATGCAATTCAAGTTGTTCTTGAGAAGGAGCTAGGTAGAAGTATTGGTGAATTATTTGAAAGATTTGATGTGGATCCTCTTGGCTCTGCTTCCATTGCACAGGTACTCAATTCCATCTGAGTGGCATGTCTGCCTTTGTCCAACCATTCATCTGTAAAGATTGTCATTGCCATTGGCCTCAACCTGTCAAGTGAAAGGAACTCTAATATCAAATGCTGCTAAATGTTAATGCTTCTGCTAGTTTAATAGCAATTCTTTGGAAGAAACTAGATAGCTATTATTAAAATTTATTTTCTTAAAAAAGATAGCTATTGCTAAAATAATACCTACTGTCTGGGAAAAGGCTAACATGACCTGCTTGTGCCAGAAGGTCAAATATTCAGTACTGGTATAGAAATAACCTTTTTGGAAGAATGCATTGTATTTATCCCTGAGTCCCTTGGTGCATTTTAGCTTTTCAGGGATCTTTGATATATATACTAGTGGCAATAGGTTATAAGAATGGAATAAATAGATGAGAGAAAATAGGAAGGAGAAGAGAGATAAGACAGTTAAGAGAAGAGAAGAGAGAAAACTCGGTAAGGATACTGAATTAGATAGATTTTGAATATTAATCATCAGACCTGAGAAATCAGGCTACAAGCGTATATACTCTACCAGAACTGGGCAAGAAATCCAAACAGAATGGAAATAGTTACAACAGAAAAAGAAGCCCTAACCAAATGCAATTCATTGACCACCTCTTTATTTCCTACTCAACCCTGGACCAGCACCACATCCGCTTGTACCTTTACGCCTTTTGTATACTGACAAGGATTTGTCTACTTTTCCCTCAAGCTCATTTTTCTTACCATGAGCCCTGACTGTGACAATTCAGTCCCGTGGAGGAAAAACCTTGTCCTTAAAGTTTACATGAGGAAATTGCTGTTTCAGATACTGAGCATCTTTCCTGGTGCTTTCGCTGTCTTCCAGTCCCTCCCACCTTCCTAAAAATTGTTCCATTTGTTTTCCCTTCTTGATGACTGTTCTCTTCAACAAATGACTTCAAGTTCAATCAATAAATTCCAACATCATCAACGTTAGGCATCTCTTCAGTGTATTTCTGCTTCCTGGAATTTATCTCTTAAGTAAGGATACATGGAAAATAGGGTATATTCTCATTTGTTTTGACAACTTAAGCCGATAAGCCACCTTGACTTACTTTACTCACCACCTCATAAGTTCCATAGAACCTCGGAAACAATTTGTAGTTCCTTCTTCCTTTTAGAGACTGTTGCTTGTATGGCTGTAATTTGAGAAACACCAAGTCTTTTTCCTCAGTTGTCTCTCAGTCCTGTGCAGATCTACATACTGCTTCATCCGATTCTGAGCTTCTACCAACTGTTGGTTAAAGAACATGCTCATCTGGTGTCTCTCTTCTAGAAAAACTTCCAGCTTGGCTTATGGAGTCTCAATCTCCACGGTGTCAACAAAGTGCGACAGATGATACTCATATAAGGCTTGGAATGGATACATCTTGATGCTGGAGTAGTAGGTGGTGTTATACCATCATTCCGTCAGGCTTATCCATCTAGATAATGCCTTAAAGTTCTTATGAGTCATGCATCGGAGATAAGACTCCAAACATTGATTAAGTCTCTCTAATTGCCCATCCGTTTGTGGGTGATATGCATAGCTAAAATGTAAGAAGTTCCCAAAAGTCTCTTGAGTTCCCTCCAAAACGAACTTGTGAATACCTTGTCACAATCTGAAACTATCACTTTTGGAGTACCATGTAGTTTATGAACATTGTCGATGAATATCTAGGCAACCTTGGGAGCAATGGACTGACTAACACATGTTTTTTTCCAGATGATACCCTTATTTTCTGTTCGTCCGATTTCCGCTCCTTGATTTTCTTGAAATTCACTTTACTATGATTCCAAGTGGTTTCTGGATTTAAAATCAATCTTCACAAATCTGAATTGGCGGTGATGGGTTCCTCTTCAGGTGATTCTCTAGCATAGGTACTGGGTTGCATAGTTTCTCGAGTACTCATCACATATCTTGGCTTCCCTCTTGGGGCCAAATACAAGAGCAGAAAATGCTGGGATCCAATAATAGATATGTTTCACAACCGTCTTGCAAATTGGAAGAGAAATTTTTATCCGGGGGGGAAGATTAACCCTCATCAGAAGCACCCTCTCGAATCTTCCTATTTATCTTCTATCGGTGTTTAACATTCCAACCAGTGTTGTTAATACTTTGGAATCTATCCAATGCAACTTTCTATGGGTTGATGATGTTAACAATAATAGGAAAATTCACCTTGTCAACTGGAAAGATATCAAGAAAGCTCTTAAAAATGGTGGCTTGGGTTTGAGATCAATAATTACGCTCAACAGGGCCCTTCTTGGGAAATGGACTTAGAGATTTTGGAATGAAGGAAGCAGCTTCTAGAATCAATCATCATGAGCAAATGGTTTAATGGCGATTATCATGACCACTCTAGAATCAAAAACAGCACTTATGGTTTAAGCCTATGGAAAAACATTTGGAATCTTAACAATATCATTCTTCATTAATTTTAGATGGATCATTGGTAAGGGTAACATAGTCCATTTTTGGTCAGACATTTGGTATGATACGGTTGCATTCCATTCCATATTTCCTCTTACTTATGCTATTGCTAGAGACAAAAATATTCTGGTTAAGGATGTTGTGGATCAGGACAATCCAGGCCTTTGGCAGGTGCGGGTAACCAGAAATCTGCAAGATTGGGAGTTAGAGGAGTATGAATCTTTGCTTCAGACTTTTTCTTTTATTATAGTTTATTATAAGGAGGACAAAATAAAATGGCTACTCTCCAAGAACGGTAACTTTTCTATCTGATCACTCTACAATTTCTTGGCGGGTAATCTTAACTAGAACCAGAATATCTTCCCTTCCAACTTAATCTGGAAGTCTAGAGCAACTCCAAGAATTTCATTTTTTGCTTGGGAAGCTGTGAAAGGCCGTATCCTTACTCTTGACAACTTAGTGAAAAGAGGGATCACTATTGTAAACAGATGTTTCCTTTATAAAAATAGTCTTGAAACTTGCAATCACCTGCTTCTTGGCTGTGCAGTCTCATAACATCTCTGGAACACTATCCTTAGTCTTTTGGGTCTGTCGTGGGTCATGAATAACAACATCTCAGCTGAACTTCTTGCCTGGGAGGGCTTCAGCAGCAAAAGAAAAATTATAAGACTCATCCCCCTCACCATTTTGTGGGCCCTTTGGAAGGAAAAAGACAATCGCGCTTTTGAAGGAAAGAAGTAGATTTTGACATCATCATTGACAGTTGGTTTTATTATCATGGTTACACTGTTTTAGGACATAATATCAATTGTTTTGATAATCTTGGTTTTGTTGTCGATAGTTTAATCGACTTGTAAATATTTTGTAAATTGGTTGTACCCCCTTGGCACCCTTGTATCAATACAGTTCCATACTTTTATTTTAGAAAAAAGAACCTTAGGAGCAGTGAACAGATATTTAAGTTTTGAAATGAGCGTATTTCTAAATCGATCCACCAGTACCATGATAGTACCATTGTCTTTGGATTTCAGTAATTGCTCAATGAAAACTCATGGATACATGGAACCAAACCTGATTTGGGAGGGTTCTTTGAGGTTGTAGTAACCTGGGTATAGGTATTTTTCTGTCTTACACATCTAAAAGATGTCACACCATTGCACCAATCCAGAAGTTGTTTCTTCATGCTGAGCCAGAAAAAATGTTGTCTGAGCCGCTCATAAGTCCCTCTGATTCCAGAAGGGCCCCCTATGGCTGTATATGACACCCTTTTATCAATTTCTGCCTCAATTCCTCTGATGCGTCAATCAATAGTCTTCATTTTTATCTTAATATTCCCACCTTGAGTTTGACATGGGGTCTGGTAACTGTCTTCACCATTAATTATGCCATTAAGTCCCTTACGAAGGGATCCCCTTGATAGCTTGTCGTAACTTCAGAAAACCAGAACGAAGAACTTATGGTGGTCATTGCAAACAAGGTAACCTCTTCTTTTGTTTCCTTCAGATTCTCGCAATCTCTTCTAGATAGGGTGTTTGCTACCTTGTTTCTATTCCCCTATTATACCATATGGAATAATTTTACCCCAAGAGCTTGTCAATCCCCCTTTGCTGCAGCATAGAAGTAACCTTTGGTTCAACAAATATTTAATGCTTTTTTGGTCTGTTTTGATGATGAATGAGGCTCCTTCAAGATAATGTCTCCATTTACTTACTGCATACAATATGACTCATAATTGCTTCTCATGTATAGATAGGGTTTAGTCACATCTGCAGAGAGGTTTGAATGTAGGCGATTGATTGATTTTCCTGCATAAGTGTTGCTCTTATTCCCCTCCCACAAGCATCAACTTCCAATACAAATTCTTTATAGAAATAAGGTAATTTCAGCACCAATGCCTCAATCATTATCTTCTTCAATTGCTTAAAGGCGTTTTTTGATTCTTTAATCCACATGAAGGCATCCTTCTTTAGCATGTCCGTTAAAGGCTTGCCGATAGAAACATAGTCCTGGACAAACTTTTGGTAACACTCAGTGAGTTCCAAAAACCATCTTAGGCCTTTAATTGAAGTAGGAAGACACCAGGGCAGCATTGCTTCAATTTTTTGGGAATCAGTTCTGACTTCTTGTTTGGAGATAATGTGTCCCTAGTATTCAATCTCCATCTCTTAGCATAAAGTTGGTGCTGCCTGAGTAATATACACAAATTTTTCCAATGTTGTTTGTGTTGCTCCATAAAAAAGTTATACACCAGAATGTCATTAAAGAATACAGGGATAAACACCCTCAAATATGCATCAAAGATAAAACATGAGAACTTGAAATGTGGCTGGTGAGTTAGTTAAAACAAAAGGTGTAACTTGGAATTCATAGTGCCTATGATGTGTCTGGAAAATTGTTTTATAGACATCCCCCTCCTTAACATAGATTTAGTGGCATCCGAATTTCAAGTCAATTTTTTAATATATCAGTGCCCCCCCATGTAACTCATCAAGAAGATCATCAATAACTAGAACTGGAAACTTGCCCTTAATTTTCTATAATCAACACAAAACCTCCATGTACCATCTTTTTTCTTCACTAACAGAAATGGGGATGCAAATGGAGAATGACCAGTGTGGATTATTGAAGCATCTAGCATTTTCTTCACTTGCTATTCCATTCCCTGTTTCTAGAAGTGTGGGTACCAGTAAGGCCTTAAGTTGTTTGAGAAGCTGACAGCCACAAGAGGGATGACATGGTTTAAGGTTCTAGGTGGTGGTAATCCTTTAGACTTTTCGAAAACATCCTGGAATGACTGCAATACTTGCCCATTTGATTGCTTTCTTTCATGGATGCATCTTCAAAAGGCAGGTCTATGGGCGAGCCGTCCATGGGCCAAAGGCAATATGCTATTCCTGTACTTTGGCTGCCTCCCCTTGTAAGCATTTTGTTGAGTCTGTCACTTGTCAATTTAACTAACCTGTATTGCATCTTTACCCCCATGCAATGCTACCTGCTACCCTTCTATTTTGAAGCTAAGTTTAGGCTCTGCAAAATAAAATATTATGAGGTTATACATCCTCATCCAGCACACCCTTAATATCATATCATAGCCAGCCAACTGAATAACTCTGAAGTTGTAACAAAGCACACAATTCTGCATTTTGTATTGCACACCCTAATGCATTCTTCTTCACAAGTCACCTAATGTCCATTAGCCCCTACCACTCTCAAAGGCTTGTTATGTCTAACCCTATTTTATAGTCCTTCTGCCATAGCAGAATCCATAAAAGAGTGAGAACTTCCACTATCCTGAAGTATCATGACAGCTATCTTTTCTAATGATTTTTTTATCCTCACGATTCCTCCTATAGACAGGCATCCAATTGTTTGCAGAGAAATGGTTCCTGTGTCCTCAAGAGTCCCCTGGTTCTGCTCTTCCTTGTTTTCTTCCTTCACCTCCTCGTCTTCCTCCCCGTGTTCCTCCAGAACCATAACTGTTTTATTCTTATACTGATGCCACAGGAAGAATCTCTCTCCACACTGGTAAGTTGAGTTGCTATGCTTCCTTCCTGCGGGTTGTAGGTTGTGGCTTTTTGGGTGGTAATTATTTTTTTGTGCTTTGTCATGAAGTGGTTGGTGTGAATAGGGAGAGTTTTTGGGACTGGTTTGTAAGTAATGAGTTTTTGGGCTGTAGGCAGGAGAATTAGTGGCCAACTGGTTTGTGGCGATTCAAAGCCTCCATGGATTGTTCTAGCCATAAGGCCAGCACGAACGCACGATTTAGGATGAGAAGCTTATGCATTCTAACAGTGGGTCACAACTCTTCCTTCAAACCCACTGATGAAGCAAGGAATAATATATCTCTCGGATAATCCAAAGATTTTTAGTAAGCAACAATGGCCTGATCTCTCAATTTTTTCCTGGTAATTAAGTACTGAATCATCTTGTACAAGTTTATTGAATTCCTCCCCCATATCAATTCCTGCTAAACCTCCAAATCTTTTATAACTCTTCCACAAACATTTCCTAATCTATTAGTCCATGGGGACTCACTCATCTGTGAAACCAAATTTCAGCCTTATCTCCTAAGTATAAGACTATTGTTTCTACTTTGTTCTCATCAGCTATATGAAACACCTGAAAATATTTTAGACAGCATCTGATCCAGGTTCGTAGGTTGTGACTCTCGAAGATAGGAATCTCCACCTTCAGCATAAGGGTCCTCGACAAGTTATTCCGTGGATTTTCGGCAATGCTTCCCCCAACTTCACACTGCTTCAGGATAGGAAGAATACCCCATTCATGGGCTTGATACAAAGGAGAATGGCTTAGCGGCATAGCCGATTCTCCAAGCTGCGGTCCTTCCTGCAGCATCTTCACAAACTGTTCAAAACATTGGTCAATATGCGCTTTAGAGTGGTGCTGCGTTTTGTACATCTCCCCATAAAGTCCGATATCTTTTGGCCGACCACTCGCAAGTTGTCATCCAGTTGCTTCCACTTTTGTTGTTTGTTTATGGTATGACCTTCCCCTTGTTCTTGGCCATCGCCACAATATTCGCAAGTGGCTTATAGGAGTTGTTAGGTTTTGATACCAAGTTGTCAGGAATCTTTGACATATATAACTGTGGCGGTTTAGGTTATGAGAATGGAAGAGAATATATGAGATAAATGGGAAGGAGAAGAGAGATAAGAAAGGATAAAAAAAGGGAAGAGAGAAAACTCGGCAAGGATACTGAATTAGATAGATTTTGGATATTAGTTGTCATAACTGAGAAATCAGATTACAAGATTATATACTCTCCCAGAATCAGGCAAGAAATCTGAACAGAATGAAAATGATTCTAACAGAAAAAGAAACCCTAAACAAATGCAATGGGTCAGCCACCTTTTTATTCCCTACTCAACCCTGGACCACTGCCATGTCCGCTTGTACCTTCACGCCTTTTGTATACTAACAAGGGTTTGTCTACTTTTGCCTCGCCCATTTTTCTTACCATGAGCTCTAGTGGTGACACTTTGGCTCTATCTAAATTTAGGTTCAGAATGTGCCACTTCATATTTTCGGAGTTTGATTTACTTCGCTTGATTGTGCAGTTTCTAAATTTTCTGAATATTTAATTGTTTCTTCTTATTTTCTTTTGAAAGTTTCTTGACATTGTCAGGACCTATTGAAAAGCTTTATTGCAAATCGGTGGAGAAAATATTAAAATGAACAGTTATGAACAATAAATTTTTCCTGCTCAAATTAGGTTCATCGAGCAAGATTGAGCGGTGACAAGAGTGATGTTGTTGTCAAGGTGAGGTCTACTGAAAATGAAAAGTTTCAAAATATCCATAAGATTCTAACCATAAGGGGATGATAGGTGCAACATCCTGGTGTTCAGAATCTAATGATGACCGACATCCGTAACTTACAAGTATTTGCTTTGTACATGCAAAAGACAGATATCAAATTTGACCTGTACTCTGTGACAAAAGAAATGGAAAAACAGGTGCATTATCTATCTTAATACTTCTTGTAAATATTTTATATGAATCTTTCTTTCTATATTTTTTCATTCACTTCTGGCTGGAGATGCTTATTAGGATTTGAAACCAAGAAACTTCATCTCAGCCATAAAGGTCTCTCGTAGCAGTTTCTCTCAGGAAGCCACATGGGCAACCAATGCCCATATAAATCAGTGAATTGCTTGTATTGGTTAGCATATTGATTACTAATTGAATTGGATTATGGTATGTTAAGATAATTGGATATCAGTTAAGATTGGTTCTAATTGAAAAAGGAGTACGTTACTTACTATTTTACGTTTTGGTGGTGGAACTCCTCTCTTAATATATTCTTCATACTTCACAAACAAAAGCTTCATTGTGTTAGTGCTGAATTTGACAATATACTTTTGCAATAGTAATTTGTTTATTTCCGTATATCCTTTTCAAGATTGGGTATGAGTTTGACTTCACGAGAGAGGCTAGTGCGATGGAAAGAATTCGACATTTTCTCTATGAAAATAACAAAAAGAGTCCAGTTATGGTTCCAAGAGTGGTGCCAAATTTGGTTACTAGGTATGTTATACTATGCTATATTCCTATATTGTTCTAAGCTTTGCAATGTACAGTGATCATGAACAATCTGTCCCTTTAAATATTTGTTTTCTCTGCGATAGTCAATATCTGTTTCATTTAATTGAACATGCTGGAAATTAGAGCATGGCAGGGAACTTTTTATGTTGCAAGGTATTGGACTTGGAACCCACGTCTCCTATCTTATGATTAGGTTTTTGGTGGTTAATTTCTTTAAGATCCATGTCAATTGGTATTCAAATGGTCCATCATCTTTCTCAATTGCAATTTGCAAGTAAATGATGAAGCCGGAATTACAATATCTGCCTAGATAGTTAAAAGACTAGTTAGATGCCAACTCATGTGGGCACTGGAGGCTGTAAAGCATCTTGATTGTTATGGGGTTTCCTGCAAAGCATAGTACTCGGATCTCATGTTGGAAAACTGTCACTAGGATAAGAGATTTATCAGGATTTGTGCTCATCCAATCCCAACAACTAGGTTTGAGGTGTAGTCCTCTTATGAGAAAGTCTAGAATATTAATAGTGGAAGAACATTGAGTTTGCAAACATGACCATAAAAGAAAAATGAGTTGAGTTTTGATAAGGTGGACTGCCAGAATCAGGTCACCTCTTTGATTGGAAGTCTTGATAATTTTTTTTTTAATAATCTGGAGTATGAGATGTCAGTAAGAATTGATCTCGGTAACTTTTTCTTTCAAACTTTTCATACAATGTAATCGATTTATATGTAACAAAAGGTTGGTGTCGAATGCCAATAAAGAGGTCTCAATGTTACCTTTTCGCTTGATAGATACTGCTCCCTGTTTTCCATGTGTGCATTAAATAGTCTACTTCAATTCTCATAATCTTCTTAAGGATCATAAGTAAGCATTAACTGCAACAATGCAAATCATTATGACCATTTGTACCACTGTCTCAAAGCGTGCCCCATTTCCGTTTTTCACTACAAAATGGCCAAACACTTTATTTTTTTGCTACTTGATTCACTTTCTTAATTTGTGGCACTGCTTTGTTCTAGTGTTTTTACTCACTATGTAAATTCTTGCTCGTCAAATTTTTTTTCTTTGGTTAGGAGGGTCTTGGTGATGGAATATATTGATGGAATCCCAATTCTGAATCTTGGTGATGAAATAGCAAAGCGAGGAATAAATCCTCGTGGTAAGATTGCAGCAGCAGCAAAGCAGTAAGCCCCTAGATTATCCTAAAGAGTATGGACTGTTTTTTCTTATTAAAATGTTTTTAAGTCCATTTCATTTAGGCTCGTATCTCTATGATGAAAATTGAATTCTGTACTTTCTTTCTGGCAAACATCTGCAATCCTCTGTTTCCTGGATGGCTTAGTTGCTCCCGATGTTTCTTTCAGTTTTTTTCTCATGGAAGTTTTTCTCTCTCGAGTTTTTTATAATTGGTTTTACTAGAAAAAAGATATGTTATATTGGATTCACGAAGATATTATAGCTGAATACCAATTATTTCCAACGATGTGGTGAATATTTTAATAATAAAGAGTAAATGCCCATTAAAAATTCTGTGCATGAAGGAACATACTCAAGAGCTTGACATTGGCATATGGAAAAATGATACTGAAGAGTGGTTTCTTCCATGCGGATCCCCATCCAGGCAATATCCTGATTTGTAAAGGTTCAGAGGCAAGTCACGATAAATTCTCTTTATTGTAGTTTTTTCTCCTGGCATTTAGTATTTTTGTGAATCTCTTGTGTACTTCTCTCATGATTAATTAAAACCATAGTCACTCTTTTTCTAGTGGTTATTTTAACTTCAATATGAAAAGATTTAAACAACGGGCATAATACTTTCAGGACTATTGAAGTTTGACTGTTGTCTGGGCATGATTAACTTAAGTGGAGTTCCTTTCTTCCTTAAGCTAGGTTGCCTTGCTGGATTATGGACAAGTGAAGGATCTTCCACAGAATCTGAGGCTTGGTTATGCTAATCTGGTTCTTGCTATAGCTGATAATGATCCTATGAGAGCATCAGAGAGTTTCAGGTTAATTTGCCTTGTGAATTTGTTATAATCAGCAAACTTAAAATTTGTTTTTATCTGCAAGAATGAAAATGTAGGCTGAACGTTGTGTACAAAGAACATCACAATGCATATTCTTTGAGATCTCTATGGAACAAGAAGTAGATGATGGACCTTGTCGAATGATAATAAAGTTGGTGTTATACAGCTCAGCTAATTCTATTACTTGATTTCAATATTTATTTTAACTGGTTATCTAATTACTGTAGTCCAAACAGATAGGTAATGAATCTGGATATATGACATATGGATGTAGCTAGATATTTGATAGCAACTGCCTGCTTGGTGATGTCTTTTTCAGTGGGTTTGCAGTTTCTCGTTGAATTTACTATAGCCAGTTATTTATTTTATGTTTTTCTTTTTTTTTTCTTTCCCT